GTGGGTTCGAACTACAGCACAGCAGACAGATTAAATCTCAGGGAAAACTTCCGGCCGGGAAGAGCAGGAGGACGATGGAAGCGAGGCCTCGGGAGGGCGTGGAAGCTCTTTCGAGGAAGGTTTCGAGCGGAGGCCGGAGCCATCTGTCTTGGATGGTTTAAATCCTGCGGCGTGGTCGGGGGTCAGACTAGGTGCCCCTGGCGGTCCCTTCTCACCCCACGGGTCGAGGAATCTACCCACTCTGATGTGTGACCAGTCCAGACTAGCAGACTTGTGCAATGCAGATTTTGAAGAGAGGCGCCAGAGGCGATCCCGGCAGTCCCTGGCCGGGAAGCCTAACTTCAGTACCAGACACATGGGTTGAAACTCCAGCGAAGAACAGAACCATCGGCCACATGATGCTGGGAAGAGTCAACACGGCTTTTGTAAAGGGAAAATCGCACCTCACCAGTCTCTTAGAGTTACAAGGGGTCTCTCTGCTCTGGGCGGAAGAAAGTCAATGTTGCTAAGGGCAAAGGAACGCACGTGGGTCACCGGGGCTAGTTCTCTGAAAGCATCCGCCCAATGGGCAGCGGTTGCCAGAAAAGCTACCGGCACGTTGGGAACCATTAAGAGGGAGAGACAGTAAAACAGAAACTCTCACTGTTTAACTCCGCGGTTCGCCCCCTCCTGGAATACGGCAGGTCGCTCGGGACGGGCTGGATGGTGAGACATCGGGGAGGGGATGGAGAAGAGCCACGCGGGTTAGAAAACCTGCCCGAGAGCGAGAGACACCCGGAGCTCCAGCTGAGGGCAGAGGCGGCGACGTGATCCCAGTGGGGACCCAATAGTTAATAACTAACCCGAGCCAACGGCGGGCAGCTCAAACGAGCCAAATTCAACCTGGAAATAAGGTTTCACGCTGAGGGGAATTAAGCAGGGGAACAACTGACCAAGGGGCATGGCGGATTCTCCATCACTGGCCGTTTCGAGCACCAGCTGGGCTGGATTTCTGAAAACTCGGCTCTAGGGATTATTTTGGGGCAGGTCTCCGAGGTCCAGTGTGCGCTGAGAATGTGTCACAGACCCAAGGAAGCACGAGTTTTGAAGTTCACCAGTGGAACTCCTTGCCTCATGATTCCCCCCCGGAGGTTTTAGAATTCAGTTATGAGCCCAAGGAGGGGGAGAACGGGGGCTGGCATTATGCAGATGGCATCGTCAAGCCAGGCTGCAGGCGGAGCCGGCACTGGACACCCACCCTGGTGCTCCCCCAAGACCCATGGACTGGAAGGTGCGAGTGGAGCGATGCCACCGGCCGTGGGCATTGCGGCTGGTGAAATGGGCCCCAAGAGATGACGTGAGTTTGACGACACATATATGGGGAGGAAACCCATGGGAGCCCTGGTGGTGCCCCATTCCTGACCCGCAGCACCCTGCTGTCCTGGGAGCAGCCATACCTTGGCCAGTGCCCCCCACTTGCCAACACGCCAAGGAGCCCCCACCCCCGAATTACTGTTGTCCCAGTTTCCACCTCTGTCCCTGCAGTTCCAGGCTCAACCCCACCCTGTTCTCCCCCGCGCCCACCACAGGCCAGGGCACTGGGGGCCAATCAGACCAGGGTGATGGAGGGGGGGGTGCTGAGCCTAGCCAAGCCCAGGGGAAACGGGGGCCAAGTAAACAATTGAGATTCCCAGAATTGGGAGGTGGCTGAGATGCAGCCAGCTCTGGGGTGGAGCAGCTGGGGAACAGCCCAATATAACACAGCACAGGGATGAGGCGCCGAGATGCAGCCAGCTCTGGGGCCCCCCCGGACCCCGCAACAGCTCCATTAGCCTCCAAAGTTTAATAATAATAAAAAATACATAATACAATAACGCCCCCCACCCGCCCCCCACCTAGACAGTGATAGGAACACTAAAAAGAGACAGAGAGAGGTTTAGTGTCAGGGCTGGGGCCCCTAAGGGGTGTCATGGGGCGGGCTGGAAACAGACCAGGTTCCACCCCCCCCCAGCCCTGCCGCCCCCCTCACCACCCCCCGAAAAACCCCAAAGTGGTTCCCCCAATTCCTATAAAAACCCATCCAGGGCTGGAGAGGCAGCTGTGCAGCTCCGGGGAGGGGGGGGCAGGGCTGCAGTGTGTGTGTGTGTGTGGGGGGGGGAGGAATCTGTCCCCCCCAGAGTCAGTCCAACCAGTGGGGGGCGCTGGTCCGGCCGATCTGGCTGTGCTGGTATCTCAGGGGTCCCCGAGACGTCCATGGTGAATCCGGAGGGGCACAGTTCTGGGGGGGCGGCGCCCCCTGGCCCCCCCACTCCCAGTCTCTGCACCGAGGTATCCATGATACAAAAGGAAGGATAACGTAAAATAATTACATCACTGGGCAGAGTCCGGGCCGGGGTCCCCGGCAGGGAGCGTCCTGGGGGGGGTCAGCTACACCCCCTGCCCCCCCCCCACCAGTCAGGGCGCCATCACGTCAGCCGTCCGGTCCGGAGGAGGGGGCCGGCGTCACAACTGCTGTGGGGACAACGAGGGGAGGGGGTTAGCGAGGGTGGGGGGACCCCACGGAGCCCCCCCCCATATGGTCAGCGGATTTCAACCCAGGCAGTCAGACGGGGCCCCCAGCCTCCTCCGCCCGGCTCCAGGGCCCCCCCATGGCAACCAGAACCCCCTCCCATGCCCTCCCCCAGCCCTAGGGGCCCCCATAGCACCCCAAATCTCACCCCAACGCCGTTCTGGCTGTAGTCGGTGCCGGCCCCAGGGGGGGCCACATCGGGGGGCTCGCTCTCCCGGCTCCTCTTTGGCTCTAACTCCTCCTTCGGTAGGGGGGGCAGCTCCCCCCGCTCGGCCCGGCGCTTCCGGCGCCGCTCAGCATCCCGGCCCCGCGCCCGGGCCCCGCGCCGCTCCGCCTGCTCCAGCTGGGGGCGACAGGACATGTCAGCGGGATGGGGCCCCCCCTGCAGCCCCACAACTCCCCCCAGCCCTGCCCGAGCCCCTCAACCCCCCTCCACCCCAGCCCTGAGCCTCCCCTGCACCCAAGCCCCTCATCTCCAGCCCCACCCCAGAGCCCGCACCCCTAGCCAGAGCCTTCACCTCCCCCCACCGCATTCCAACTGCCTGTCCCAGCACTGAACCCCTTCCCCCACCCGTCATCCCCAACCCCACCCCAGAGCCCACACCCCCAGCTGGAGCCCTAACCTCCTCCCGCACCCCAACCACCTGCCCCAGCCTGGATCCACCTCCCACACCCGGAACCCCTCATTTCTGGCCCCAGTCCAGAACCTGCACCCCCACCCCAAAGTCCATGTCCCCTCCCACACCCCAACCCTCTGCCTCAGCCCAGACCCCTCCCACCCTCCGAACCTCTCATCCCTGGCCCCACCCCAGAGCCCACACCCCCAGCCGAAGCCCTCACACCCTCCCACTCCCCAACCACCTGCCCCAGCCTGGATCCACCTCCCACACCCGGAACCCCTCATTTCTGGCCCCAGTCCAGAACCTGCACCCCCACCCCAAAGCCCATGTCCCCTCCCACACCCCAACCCTCTGCCTCAGCCCAGACCCCTCCCCCACTCCAAACCTCTCATCCCTGGCCCCACCCCAGAGCCCACACCCCCAGC